CTGTGCTATCTCAGTCAAGGGAAACACTTTGCCGTTGGCGTCTCAGCAGCTACGGGTGGCAGGAATCTGGTGGAAAGCTTTCCAGAAACCATCAGCTCCAGGAAGAAGATCAAGTACTTCCCTTCAAATCACCAACAGGAGGAAGAGCAGGAAGCCCCTCCCCTCACCTCTGGGGCTCCGCCTGCAAATTCCTAGCCAGGCCCAGTCCTGCTTGGCCACAGATTTCTCCGCCCAGAAATGGGCAGCAGCCTTTCCAAATGTCTTTCCAAGTAACCAACAGGCTCCTTGACCCAAAGCAAGCAGCTGGAGTCATCAGATGTAATAAACCACACACCAACGTTCTATTCAATCCACTTCATCGATAACATCTCTGAGAAATACACAAGGAACCTTTTGGAGATTTCACAGGAAACAGACTCTAAAGATGGTCATTTTGGTGCAAATCATTTTGCAACCCAGACACACCCACAGGGAGTCCCGAGCAATCCTTGGAAGATGCATGCTATGGCTACTCTGCAAGAAAATGTATCTTACAATCATTTTTTTTTAAATTTTATCTTTCCCTTCCACTTTGCGAGTTCTCTCAAGTCCATTCACACTGTATTTCCTACTAAAACAGATAAGGAAACACTTATTTAACTCTTGGATAAATAATAGTAATAATAATAACAATAATAATGAATCTCTGGTGCTCAGATGGGCTTGAAGGCTGCTACGAAGGCAGGGTCTAGAAAGAGCAGGGAGTGGGCCTGGTTGTGCACAAAACCAGCATGAAGAACTCACATGGACCGAGCTGTTAGCACCACGGACCTCCTGTTGACCAAGACAGCCCCCAGCACAGCCTCACTTGAATAGTAGAGAAGGCAGAGAAAGTTGCGTGAAGTTATCTCTTGAAATCAAACCGAGGTGCCACCGGCAGGGATTCAGGAGGCTGAACCAGCAACGAGCTCGGGGGCTCCGGGCACCATTTCCCTGGCCGCTCGCAGCCAGCCAGGTGTTCCGACCGCAGGGCTCCGTCAACAGGCGTCATTTGGGATTAGTTAGCTATGGGAATTTAGGTGATTTATGGCAGCTTTGTTCTCTAGATAGGGTGTGATAACTCAAGGGCAGAGTGTGAAAAATGTAAAAAAAAAAAAAAAAAAAAACCACGCACCCCCCCCCCCCCTTGCAGCCTTGGTTCTTGCTGGTTTAGAAGGAATGGTGGATCAAAACTAAAAACGGCTCATGCCAGGTGGGTGCCCTGCGTCTTCTTCGTGGGAACTGCTGTCCCTAGTGGGGACAGGGAATCCATCCAAAGCCCTACACGATTGCTCGGGTCTGCAGGTGTCAGTGCACTCCGCTCAGATTAACGAGGTCATGAACCTGCCAGTGTAAGTTAATTCCTCCACTGAAGGATCTCAACCTGTGTGTTAAAGCCACGCGTGGCTCGAGAAACACCTGCATCAGACAGCTTCCTTAGGAAGGTACTTTTCTTCTCTATCTTGCCCTTAATGGATTCATCGCCCTGTGCGCAGGAGGAAATGCAGCAGCCTAGGTGAGGGGCGTACAGAGGTGCAAGGCCCGTGTTTGGGTAGCCTCCCAACAACAGCTCAGCCTTCCTGAAGAGCGCCTGGCATACCTCCAACTCACCTAGCTTAAGTGACTAAAGGTCCTACCAGTTCAACCCACTTTCCCACCAGCAGAATCGGAGGTGGGGGGCTAGAACAGACTTCTAGAGTCCCAGCAGCCATGGTCAAGGCCACGGCTGTGACCTACGCAACATAGCAAGTGAGCCAAAAGTAAGAGGGGCGACTGCCCTGCGTAGAGCTGTCTGGGACGTAGAGTGGGTGGCTCGTTTCACACAAGGAGACGAAGGTCTTCCGCAACGTCCGTTTCCCTGCGGGCCGGGATCCTACCGGGCTGTGGTAGGCACCTGAGGCCTTGGCAGGGCGTGGCAGAGCTCTTACAACCTAACAGAGGGAACAGCGAACAATGAACACAGTGAGTGCAGCGAGAAAAACCCACTGGGTAGGGTAGGTAATAAATGCTTTGCAGAAACAGAGGCAGGTTTGGGCACGAAACAGGCTTCACGGAGCCAGCTTCCGCATCAAGAAAGATCTGAGCGGAGGCAACAGTGGGTCAGCCACGTGGACAGGAAGGGCCAGAAGCCGTTGGTGGGGAAGAGGGGCAAGTGATACGGTGCCTGGATATCCCCCTCTAGCACAAGCCAGGGACACAGGGTCAGGTCTAACCGAGCAACTTTCAGTCCATCCAGTAAGCAAACTCCTTCAATATCCAGGCCCAGGCTTCCTTAAATAAAAATGCAGACAGAATGTATACGCTGCTGACAGCAGCTGTGAACTTTTTTTTTTCTCCCGCAGCTTTATTCCTAGATAAGATGCCACGCAAGAGGAAAAGTGGATTTCATGACACCTGGCAGAATGCCCCAGGCAGAATGCGCTTCTGGCCAGGGTCTAAGTAAGAGAGCTTGCTTTGAAAGACAAGGCAGTGAGGACACTAGACACGTGACATGCATGGGGACAGCTCCCCAGCACCCTCTCTTGACTGTGCTGCCCAGTACCAGGCTGTGCACGACCCACGTGTGAGAATTATGCGTGGCTTAGAGGCCTCACAGGCTGCCTTCTACACAGCTAGGCACCCCTGAAAGACGGGACCCCGAGGAAAGTGGGGGAAGAAAACGGCACGGAGCAAAAAAAGAAAAGGACTGACGAGTCCAAGTGCAACAACAGGAAAGAAGGGAACTTGTGCTTTCGGGCCAAAATCCACCTGCTCCCTGCACGGGCTTTCCCAATGCAGAAGGCGAAGTCAACGCTGACAGTTTCACAGCGCCCAACGCCTGAACGTCATCCTCACCACGACTCTGCATGTGCGCTGAACATACCGCTCCCAAGAGCTCAGAATTCTCACTTCAGAGCCACCCTAAACCGTTGAAGTGAGAGCAGAAGACCAACGTTCCTAAAGCATCTCATGCCTATGGGGCCTCTCCCAACACACACAAACCGCCTTCTCAACCTTTCGCTTCTTCCCAACGCCTTCCTTCCTCACACTTCTGGACACGTTATTATGGGTCCTGTCCTTCAATTCTGCTGAACATGTTCATTTTACCCTGCTTTGGAAAAAGCAGAATGAAGAGCCTGGGAAAAATCGCCAACTGCCATCACCCTACACCCATGAGCAAGAAAGCGTTAGGAAATGGTTGAAGACCCCAAAAGGACACATGGCTTTCCCATTAAGGAAAAGCCTGCTCGGGTATTATACCCAAATCAATTGCACCTGATGGCAGCCATGAACACGAAAGCTTGTTTAGACTCTATTCCTGCAAGAGCTTTTTGTCGCTAACCTTAACAACATATCCTTAATTCCACGTTTCCAACCATCTCTTTTAAGTCAACTGAGATGATTTCTAGGATTCTGTATGCCTTTGCATTCTGGAGCAAACTGGATCACTTTTTCCTCTGATTTGGGATTCTTGGGGGATGTGACCATTTTTGCAAAAAAAAAAAAAAATCAAATAGAAAACACATCATGTGCTAGAAACAGTTCTGTAGACACATTCGATCTGCTAAGCGAAACAGCAAGAAGTGGTTGACAAAATTACACACACTTGTGAAGATCACATCTCTCCACCGTCTCCCTTTTTTTGTAAGAATAAGTTAACCAAGGTAAAAGAGGGTGCCATGCATTATCAGCACTCAGACGCTTCTAGAAATATCCAGGGACACCAAACTACGCCTGCTCAATAAGTAACCACTACTGTCATAGCTGTCCCTCCCAATCCTTTCTGACTTCCTCAGAGAAAAAAGAAGAAGCCTCACAATTTATTGGGGAGGAAAACAGCATCTGACCAAGTTCCTATCGGAAGAGCTGAGCAGACGACACACATCTCAGTGTGAAATGCAACGCAAGAAAAATCGCACACAGCCAGCTGTGCCACACAGCTGTCCTGGGAAGCACCTGCAGCGGACAGGAGGCAGGGTCCTCCCTGCAGGTGGCTTCCCGTGAGAAGTCAGTGAGCATGGCTCTCCTCCTGGGAAGGCCGGCCGACTGCAGGCATTCACGTGGAATGAGAGCTCCTTTTATTTCAGTCCCAACTGCAGCGCTAGGTTTCAGCTGCAGCCACAGGGTTCCTGGAGAGGAAACCCAGAGGTAGATACTGGGTTATAAAAACAACGGTTTCTTCTCTGCTGAGTTCTGTGGTTATTTTATTACCCTTTACATTTTTCCATAGCCATGACATTAATGCTAAATACGCCTTAGTTAGACTTACCCTCCATGTTCCCAAAATGATTGGAGAGGGTTTCAAACAGTCCACAGCCAAAAAAATAAGAATAATAATTAAATTTAAAAAGGAATTAAAACATGCATTCAGAACTAGATGCTTGGCACAGTGGTTAGAGCGTGGCTTGAGACACCCACATCCTGCATCAGAGTGCTTGGTTAGTGCCACCTGCTCCTATTCTAATCCACCTCCCACTGAAATGCCTGGGAAGGCAGTGGACAATGGCCCAACAACCCGGGTCCCCGACCCCAGCTCCTGCCACCATCTGGGTAGAAACCCAGCAAACGCAAAATTCATCTCAATCTCTCCCTCTTTTCCCATCAGCTGGACCTTCAAGTAAGTAAGTCAACAAACAAATCCTAAAACAAACTTCCACACCAAAATACAGCTCTCTCTGAAATGCACTGTTCCATGAGTTGTCTGGACCACCTGCTATCACCGTGACAACGACCTTAAGAATGAGCTAGGTATTCCCAACCAACGGCAACTCTGGTCACAGCCATCATGCGCCCAGTTCTACAGCAACTCCTAACCCCACGCAGAGTAGCAGCTGTGCAACAACTGACCAAGCCCTCACACGCATGTCGATTCATGTAAAGGTGCCAAGATGCTCCGCCCGGAGCCTAAGTGCCCAGGGCAAACTCAACACTCCTGCTTTACACATCCAAGGGGCTGGGGGTGGGGGTAGCGAGTGGATCCCTGCGCGCTCGCCCCTGCTGACCTGGATGCTCAGTGTCAGCCTCCGGTTTTGAAGAACCTGGCGCCACAGGAAGGGGTCGAGGCGGCCGAGGCTTCGGAGTGGGAGGAGAGATCCTCTTCCTTCCAATGTACTCAACGTATGTACCCGGGAAGTCGCCTCTCTCCCCAGTGGTCTCATTGTAGCCATTTAACCAGCCGATTTCTTCTGGCCGAGCCTCCTGCCCATCGCTGAACCCCAGTGCGACCAAGGATCCTTTATTCACGGTCAGGATGTCCCCCAGGTGCAGGTCAATGTCTTCGTCCCTCTCCTTCTGATAGTCATACAGCGCCCGGTACTGATAGCCCTCGGCACTCATGGTGGCGGGCACGCAAGAGTCGGGTCCGGACGTGCCCCGCAGGCTCACTCTATGTCTGTCCGGCCACAGGGTTCAGAAAGCCACTGCCAGCTCGTGCCAGGTGCCCGGCCCGTGACAAAGAGGCACTCTGCGGAGGCTCAAGAGGAGGCGTGAGTGGCCAACAGGCTGTCCATCTGTCCTCCATCAATGGTGCGGCTGTAGACGGGGCTCCACTTCCTGCGTGGCGCGGCTTGTCCCGGCTTCCTTTTTCAGCAAGGCGGCAGCACGTGGCCTCCGGGCCGACTCTCCTAGCCAGGTCCAATCCTCTGGGAAGCTCTCGTCACGACGCCCATCTGTTGTCTGATGTCACTGCTTCACTGCCCACGCCACGCGAGCTTCACCTAGCAAAGAACAAAGGAAGCTGATGAATGAGCAGCACGCTTGGCCATCTGTGGGGAAATGCAATTTCTACTTTCCATTCACTGAGTACATTCACTCGGCTCAGTTCTTCACTGAGCGGGTAGCCGGACACGGGCCAGTGTGCTAAGGGCCGGACAGGGTACACACGATGGCGATGAGCCAAGCAGTCCTTGCTGCCTTCTAAGAACGCTGGGCAGGGCGGGGGCAGTACCGGGCCCGTGTTGATATCGCAGATAAGCTTGGAACACGGGGAACCGTAACATCAGGTAACACTAGGTAAGTGCCCGGGCAGAGGCAGAAACCAAACACCACCGGGTACAAATGAGGGAGAGGCCACATCCAACCGCAGGGATCTGAGCCCAGAAGAGAGCGCGGGTCATGATCCTAAACGCGGAGGTGATTGAGCAAGTGTCACTTTCTGAGAAGAGTGAGGACAGGCCGTCCCAGGCGGCTGAAGGCAAGTGGGAGTGGTGCATCGGCCGAGAACAGGGAGGAGGCGGACGGCTGCGTGCATGCCTGCGTCTCCCAACCGGCAAGCGCTGCCAGGACTTGCAGAAGGAGGGGGGTGGGGAGGCACCAGGGCCACAGCTGCCCTAGGGGGATCTCAGCCTCCTGACCATGTGGGGAAGAGCAGAGAGGTGAGAAAAGGTGCAGCAGCAACCAGAGCATGAAACAAGGGGGCCGTGGAAGCGGCAGGTATGGGAAGGGGAGGGCTCGAGTGAGAGATGCTGCAGAGCGAGGAGGCGTGCGATGCGCGAACTGATGACAAAGCAGAGAGGGACAAGAAAGCGCGTGTACCGCTATCCAGCAAAGGGAAGCCAGAAGGCCGACTGGACTGACAGGGATGCGGGCACCCCGGCGCGAGCATGCGCGTGTCGGCGGACACCTGGGCTCTGACTCAGGCGAGCGAACACGCTGGAGATTTGGTAAGCAGCTCCAATCAGACAAGCCTGAACTCGGTAAGACAGAGGAGCTCCCCAGCAACAGTCACCCAAGAAGAACAAGCTCCAAGGGCCAAACACTGGGGTTCCAGGAATTCAACGAAGGAGAGAAGGCCAAGGTCTGGTAGCAATGCATTGTTCTAAAGAGACAGAGATGAAGAGGGCGCAGGCGTGGGGGGAGAGATGACCCCACCCACACCCCCCGCCAAGACCACATCCTGCAGGGGAAACTGAGGCACGGCCAATCTGAGGAACCTGCCCGCTGTGGAATGGAATCTCCTTCGACTTCTGAGAGAGCAGAGGCCAGCTCAGGAGGGAGGCAGGCATCAGGTACAAGAGTTAAGAAACCGGGGAGAGGAGGTGACCACGGTTGTCGCGTGTTAGTTAAGCGCAGGGGAAATGGGACAACGGGTGCGTTTTTTTTTTCTCTTGCTTTTCTTTTTTGTTTTTTTTTTTTGGTTTTTTTTTTTTGGCACAGGAGAGGCAGAGAGCTCAGAAAACCAAGACTGTCAGCTGTAAAGTTACTAGGTGGGAATGGAGGAGTACTGGCAGTGTCGGCGTGCACACGACCCGCTGGGCTCGCCCACCCTCGCCCTCGCCCTCGCTCAGGCTATCTTCCCAATAAACAGCAACAGGTTTCAGCGGAGCTGGCAGCGGCATAAAGCAAGCCCCAAAACAGCACACAAAGTGCAGGGTGTCCCATCCAAGAGAGCTTCCCTAAGCTGCGAGGAAGGCAACACGTTAGAGCTTGAATCTCCTGACCCGCTCGCTCCTCAACACGGGCAGCTTGAGAAGCACAATCTACTCAGAGAATCATTGTCACGTGGGCATTGAGAAGTGTGAAATACTCAACTTGCCGCGGACAAAACTTCTTAGCTGTAACACAAGCCCGCTCCAGAGAGAGTTAAAGGAAGCGAAAACAAACATGCAAGCCTTTGTGTGGCAAGAATATTAATGGGGCAGAGTACTCTCCTTTGCAGGTCAGGTATGGGGGGGTGGGCACGTGAGAAGAGTAAGCCGAGTGATCTGTTTGCAGAAGGCATCTTCTTTTCAGAGATGCAGCATCCAACTGAAACATTCACTGCATAAATTCACACCGAGATGTAACACCAGCGAAGCCCGTTTTTAGCGCTCACGAACCGAGTACAAAAGAGACACACAGACCGCTGAGGAACACGGAAATTTACATCTCGCTAAATGCTTGGAAACCAGGCAATATGCCTAAGAATAATTTAATTCCTCCAAATCTGCCTTGCAATTTTTGTTAGCTTTTCCTGGCAATGTATGTCTCTTTGGGGAGGAAAAAAAAAAAACAACAATCCTCCACCAGCAGGCTGGATAGATCTTCATGCCAGCTACTGCCTACCACTTCCTCCAGTGGAGCCGCCCAAGGGGCAGCAGGGTGAGATTTTTCTATTATAAGGACCTCTCTTCCTCTCTCTTATGTGTTCTCTCTCTCTCTCTCAGGCACACACACACACACACACACACACACACACACACACACACACATCCCTTCCCCACCCCCTAAGCTCCCAGCCTACCACGAAGCAGGCCCCTGCCCACAGCACCCCCATGGAGCTCTGCCAGTTCATCACCAGGAGACAGGGGACTAAGAAAAGGCCCCACGTTCTTCTCTGGGTTTTGTAGCCCTGAAGATTAGGTGTAGGTCAGCCTGGGGCTTCCTCTGTGCAGAGGGGAAGGAAGCCCAGGCAAGCTGAGAACTTTAAGGATGTCAGATGTAACATTTAAGGGCTGGGGGTCTAGAACACAGCTACAAGTGTTGTCCTTTGCCGATGACTATGTTTACTTACACACACACACACACACACACACACACACCAGCATGCCAGTCTCTGCTCACAGTCAAAACCTGCAACCTCAATGCAGGCAGGACAAAGTTAAACAATTGAAGGTCAGCCATGATTCAGTGTGATTCATGATCCAGCTAAGTGGCTGCAGAGCACACTATTGGACAAACCAGAGGGAGCAGAGACAAGTCATTTGGCCGGAGGCTGGGTCCCGTGATGGTGACTTCAGAGGGGCCTCCGCCAGGCACTCGAGGCACACACCTCTACCCTGTGGATTTTCTTCCCCGTGGCTTGCCCAGGTCACCCACTGTCACCAGCTGGACCACTCAACGCTCGCCAGGAGCTCCGGCAAGGAGCCTCAAACTCTACGTGGCAAATGTGCATGGTGAAAACAATAACGCATGGACTTCAACATGTTTGGCACCAAAAGAAACTTCCCTTTTAGTTCCATTTTTCCACAAAGTTTGTGAACTAGTCCATTCCACTATTAGTATCATCAATCTCTTTTGGCCATCATCATCATCACCCCATTTATTGGCAGATAACCCATTTAATCCTGCAGGCAATCATAGCAGGCAGGTACTGTCAATATTCACACTGCTCAGGGCAGAGTTAGTGTTCGGCTGTGAGAACACTCAGCTACTAAGAGGGAGAATCAGAATTCAGCCTCCACAGCCCCAGCTTGCCCTCTTTCAGCACCGCTACTGGCTGCCCCAACTCTGCCTGCTTCCATACAAGCAAGTCCAGATGTATCCCTGGTGCCCACGATGCCGCCTGCGTCACAGGCAGCCCTCTCAGATTAACCTTCCCTGCCTGCCTGTGCCATGCCAGGGCTCCTTCCGGCGTAGGCACCTCTCTCGTGCACCTGCACAGAAAGAAGCCATTGTAACTCAGCAGCGGTCCCGCCGAGTCCAAGGCACAGCGTCTCAGCCACGTACATTCTGTTCCAAAGAGTCTTCATTAAAAAGCACCTTTGCCAAAAGAAGGAATACTGGGCATATGACTTCCGTAAAGGTTGCCCATTTCTGGCACCCTGCCCCGTTTTCTGTTCTACCAGCTTAGCTTCTGCCACCTGTGTCCCTTTTGGAACCTTTGCCTTTCCACTAGTCTGCAGGATTTCCAATACTGCAGCTCTTCCTTGGGGGGGGGGGGGGGGGGGCGCGACGCAGCAGGCCAGCTCACATGGGCTGTCACAGCTCACACACGGACACCATCAGCTTCTTCCCAAAGGGGCAGAAGGACCCTGCAGCCCGAGGCAGGTGGCAATCCCAGTGCAAAGATCCCAGGATCAACACAGCGTCCCAAACACCCAGATCCATATGATGCATTTTCCCCAGCTGCACTGCATCTGGATTGGACACATACTCCTACAGTAGAGGGTATGGCCAATAGATAATACTACTCATCTACAATCTAGGACCTTCAATTAATCAAGGCGGTTTCATTATATAGGCTTCAAACTAGTACAATGCGTAAGTTACTGCAACAGACAACAAATTAAAGTATTCATGGCTCCAGCCTTTTGTTTTGTCTTGTTTTATGACACAGTTCCATAGGTTCTGGGGTTACCCCCTCCCCAAGTTCCCTTCCCCACCACTGATCTCCCCTCTAGTTTTCCAGTGGGTGGTCCTTCATGAACAGTCCTATGTCCATCCTGCTCTTACTGAAGCGTTTCCCGACAATGTAGGCATGGGCAATGTCAGAGAGTCCAGCATCCTATTGCTAACATATTTTCAATTCCTTCACTGGAAGTCCATCTTTGGTCTGTATGCAGAGACATAATGCCTTTTTAATGATGGCTGGCAACCACACTGACCGGAAGTATTAAAATATGAAGAATATTCCTAGTCGTGACAGTCCTGCGATGACATCAGCAGGTTGGTGCTGGGAGGCAGCACATAACGGGTCTTCCATGAAGGCCTGCAGGGCTCCTGGGGGCTCAATCGCCATTTCCCTGCAACCCGCCTTTCCGCCTTCAAGATACATATGTAGGGCAAGATGGCCACCTAAATGTCTACTGTCTTTAAAACGACATACGTCACAAGGTGGGCGTGTGGCGCAGTGGTCAAGATGCTACTGGACACACCCACACCTTCCATGGGCCTGCCAGGGTTCAAGGTCAGGCTCTGCTTCTGCTTGTAGCTCCCCGCTGGTGAAGGAAGGTGAGTCTCTCTGCCTCCCAGTGGCAGACCCAGTGGGAGCTCTGGGTTCCCTCCTGAGTCCAGCCTG